CACCTAAGAAAACCTAAGTAAGTAAAATTCCAATGAATTCCTAGTACAGGGGTATAATTGCTTAATTTCTTAGAAATCCTGAACAAATTGAGGCTCCGGTAAAATGTCAAATTATGTTTTAATTTTTTTTTTAAATACAAAAAACAAATTAAGCTAGTCACGTATTAAATAAAGGCTAGGCCTAACTGTAAAATTCGTTTGGTCCTATACTGTAAAATTTGTTTGGTCCTATCTGATATATCTAATGTGCAGTTGGTGTGACCACGGAGAAAATATATTGATATACCGTAAAACCTCAAATTGAAGCCTTAGGCTTCCTCTTTGTTTTTGCGAACTTTGCATCGGCTTCTTTTCGAGGCTACTTTGCAAAGAACCGGGGAGGAGGGAGCTTCTTTTCAAATTGAATGCTGTACATTTTTTAAACTACTGCTATAAAACAATAAATAGGGCTACTGTAACCAGGAGTGTATTAACCGGCATTAAATCACCTAAAAACTACTATATAAACCAGGCGTGTCTTTATGTTGCTTTAAAATTCATGTACTGTACAGTGTATGGGCTTCTTTTCGAGGATACATTTGCAAACTAAAGAGGGGGCTTCAATACAGGGATTCGGCGATGGGCGTCATGTGACCTAACTTGGGCGTTGGATATAAACAATTGACTGGCACCATAGTGATCAGACCATGCTTTTTTGCATAAATTAGACCCGTTTAGCATCTAGCATGTAAGCATGTAAAAAGTAAGATATCTCAAACTCGTCTAAAAAAAATTAAAGAAAAGGTCATAATTGAAACCCGACAAAATTGGATGAGATCAATTAAAATAGTTTCATCCAAAAATCCTTGCTCTTGTGAATATTAGTAGGCCTACCACTGATTCCATCTAAATTTCTCTACCGCATCATCAAGTCTGTTTTTTTTTTTCTTTTTGTCAAGGCATTTGTCCTGCACATCGACTACAGAACCTTTAGTCCTCTGTCAAGTATGTGCCTGAACATTCTTAAAATGAATTGTATAAATTGGAAGAACGAATATGATTTACGCCATAAACCAAATGTACAGTTATAAGCGTTTGTAATAAAAGAAGAGATAGATATTTGTTGGTGCTTTATTTTGACTATAATGGATATATATATATATATATATATATATATATATATATATATATATATATATATATGAAGAAGACGTGTCCATGTGTGTTTCGAAACATAGAATATATTATATAGCAGTAATGAATCTCAAAAATGTAAAATGTTAACTTTAGAAACACTAAGATTTATTGGGCGAATACCGTACTCTACTCACACGAATAAGTGCCTCGTTTGAATAAGTGCCCCTCTCGAATAACCGCCCCTCCTAACGTGAAAATTTCCTTAAGCGCCCAGTTTGAATAAGCGCCCAGTTTGAATAAGCGCCCCTCATAAGATTTTCTTTTTATCTTGGAACTGTGGTTGTTGACATGATCTGAGCTGTAGAGTGGAAACACATTCTTCTTCGGTCAAAATGAGGATATTTCTCTTGGATAGATAATGAGAGCTCCGATCGCTGGACAGACAGTATAGTTCCAACTTTACTCTTTTTACATATTTGTCTATGCCTAGTCCTACTCTTTTTCTTTTTCCGACCTTTAGCACATTCTCATCTGAGTTTTCAAGAAAAAATACAAATCTCAATCGGCTGATGGCCAACAAGCTAACCACTACCCACCACCACTAATTGCATCTGCAATGCTTTTATGTAAATATTCACGCATTCTTGTCATGAGCCATGTTATCTGGACGATTATCATTTCGAACCACCATTCGTAATATCCTCATATAATATTTTTTCATTCAAAAACTGCCTCTTGAATTTAATAATTTCCCATTAACACCCCTCGATTTTCATTTATTTAAATAAATAATTTCCACTCTGATTTCATAAGCGCCCCATTTAAATAAGCGCCCCGTTTGAATAAGCGCCCCTCAGAAAGTGCAAAAAAATATTTTAAAAGAACAATTATCTGAGCATTTAAAGTTGGTATTTTTTTATGTGATATTATACAAATTGTTTGTGTGTATCATGTTGTATATTAGTAAATACAATCTAATAATCCTGTATTTATTTGGGTATTTACATAAATGTATGATACTTGAATAAATACAACCCAATGAATAATTGTTTTTGGTTGAATTAATATTATATAGTACATAAACATTATAGTTCTATATAAATACATGAATAACACTTTATAATAATTGTATAATTACTAAATTAATTATAATTAAATTTCTAGGTCAAAAGTAGCCCCGACTTAAATTAATATCAACCTAATCATTAACAGGCTTTTGCATTAATAATAACTAATAACAAATTGAACAATGTATTTGAAAAATTGTATTAATTTTAGTATTAATTATTTAATCAATTATAATTAGATATTAATTAGCTGATTTATTAGGTTGTGTTATTAGTAAATGTAGGCCTACCATACCAGTGGTTATGGTTGTGAGTTTAATTTTTGTAAGATTAGGGCTCCCCCTGATTAAAAAAAAATGTATTCAATATACAGATAACAGCAATGCAAACTAAATATACACTGCCCGAAGATTGGCATTATCAAGTGGCTCTCGTATTACATAAAGCATACCTAAGAAACAAATATTTAAGATTCTATCAGATCAATAAAATATTGAATTGAAATTTAAATAATTTGCATGTTCCTTGATTTAAAGTACATACAGTAATTGAATATCAAGATTTTTTTTTATTGCAAATTTGTAAGCAATATCCTAAACAGTAATATAGTACTGTAGTATGTATGGGGTGCCTTTTATTTCCCGTTTATTTTTCTTTGTATATTTCATCATACAATAATTATTAATTTAATGTAAGATTTAAATATTGATAAAGAACTATGGTTGTATGCTGGTCTTAATTATGCTTTTTAAATAAATATAATTAGTGAAACGCAAGTTTTTGTATAAAATGTTTTGTGTGTATACGAACAATATCCATGTCAATTTTCAGAATTAGTTCCAATAGAACATTAAACATTAGCTGAACCATAGAGGTATTAATTTTTTATACCTCCATGGCTGAACACATAAAATTCAATGAGGAAGCAAACAATTTCCATTACCATTTTAGTATCACACTTAAATATACAATAATCTTAACAAAATTCTATTAGGTATTATTTAAGTTACAAAATTAAATACTATTATTAGCTTGTATTATTGTTGTTGTTAAATGCACTATAATAATATTTAATACATTTCGTAAATAAATTCAGGTATTATTGATTTTATTTACTTGCATAAATACAGGGTGACCATAAATATAACCAGACTGTTTTAATCAAGTAAATGTACTATGATACTTAAAAGAAATACAAAAAAAAAAACAGAAATGATGAATATTTAGCTAATAAATAAAAAATTTAATATATGATACTAATTCAACTTAACAAATCTTTTAATAAAATAATAATTAGCTGATTTATTAAGTTATTATTAAGTGTACAATACTAAATACAACTAGAAATTGCAAATGGCAAGTCGAGTGCTGCGAAGTACAACTGCATATAAATGTTCTTCGAACAAAATTATTTATGCGAGTCAAGTGAAAATAATGAATAATAAAACTATAACAAATAATATGAGACACGACCCATTGTCTATATTAGAACNTTTTACCCAGCAGAACGAAAGAAGGAAACTCCGCCTGTCTCTTATACACATCTAGCGAGCCATGACGTCACGACAATAGATAGAGACGTTAGCCAGTTGTGCGAGGTATCGGCTGAGATTTGTGGAGTGCAATTCAAAAAACAACTATAGGTCTAATAATGAATTATTGTGATGTTAAATAGACAATGTTAGCTATCAAAGAGCGACGTTGTTTTTTATTGGGAACTTCGTCCCTTCAAGGCTAGGCCTATACCATCCTAGCTAGTCTAGGCCTAGAGTAGGATAAGGCTAGCACGACATGCGGATGTTGGTACGAGTAGGTTAGTCTACAAACGTTGCCTAAAGTAATTGATTTTACCCGGCAGAACGAAAGAAGGAAACTCCGCTTTTCAGTCATCTTAGGCACTCGTTTTTTGACAAACAATGACCTTTCAGAGGTCAAATTGCTGTCAAGAATATAAATTGGCTGCTTCGCAGCAACGAACTTAAAGTATCATATAGTACATTAAATTAAATAGATACAGACTCATATGTCTGCTTATTAGATTGTCATATTTACTTAAATAATTAGCTGATATATATTATTAAAGTATTATATACTATATAGTAGAGTACATTAAATAAATACAGCCTAATAGGCCTAATTATTAGATTGTATTTACTTAAATAAATACAACCAGGTTGTATTTATTTAAGTAAATGTGTGATACTTAAAGAAATACAACAGAAATTATGATGCTCTATTCTGTGAGTGAATTTAGTAATAAATACAACCTAATAAATTAGGCCTAGTTAATGCAATAAAGAAATAAGTGAACTTATTTCTATTATTAGGTTGTATTACTGTTATTAAATGTACTATAATATTTAATATATTTACGTAAATAAATACAGATGTTATTAGATTGTATTTACTATGATAAATTTAGAGTAAAATAAATATTTGCAACCTAATAGATAATTAGCCTAGTTTAATACAATGGAGAAATAACTGATACTGTACTTCGCTAATTATACTATGAACACTAGAAATTACCATATGAGTCGGATTAACTGGGTGTGTAATGGCTCCTGTCGATGTGTTAACCAACACCCTTATTCTGAAATGGATCATTCCTTTGTTAATGACATTTATTCCTACTGATATTTCTTCCTACTGGCTTTATTTCATACACCAATGGAAAGCCGCTGGCCGAATGCAGTGTTGTCGTTCGATTATCTGCTTTATTATTCAAATTAGTAGTCGGGTATAATGAATAATTCCAAATGTAATATGAATATATACGTGGCAGGGCTTTTTGTCTCAAGGGCTTCAGTGCAAACATTCAAAAAGGGCGTTCTTATGTTCTTTGGCCAGACACGTTTTTGGAATCACTAGGCATCTCTGCTTATAGCTTTATCTGCTTTTTATTATTATTTGTAAATTGAATATCCACAGTAGGAAATATGGATTATGATAAGAAGGAACGTCATCAATTGATGGATAAATTTGCCGATGGTATGATCAGTCTAGCAATGGTTGACAGATTGGTTCGCATTTCTTTTGGTAGGATTCAACAGGAAATAACAAATGTCATAGAAAAAGATTATTCAAGTGAGCAATATCATCATTTTTCAATATATGTTGGAAGTCAATTTGAAGGGATGCCTGAGCACGTCTGTAGCGATCAGGATATTATGAGGTGTAAATCAGAATTTCCGATAGTAATGTGGCATTCTCAAGCAAAAGTAGAAACATTTCATTGTGGGTATGTATTTGCTAAGCATAATTCAGAAGAGCCACTGTATGTGAATCTCAAGTTAGTGGATGACAATGTCTGCCTCCACGAGGGTCTTAAAAATGCTTTTGATAACAATGGATATATGAAGACCACCGATTTCAAGGATTATAATTCAAGAGAGATGAAAGAAATGGGCTATGAATTTACGGAACAAGGTCCCGCGTTCACAGGTTTTTCACCTACAGAGTTTAAGGAGGTAGATAAACTAAAATCAGACCAGGTATATTGTTGTAAATGTCAATCATGGCCACCAAGCACTAATGAATTTTTCACTAGAGAAAGGCAGACCAACTGGCCACCACAGGAGCTGTTAAGAAAGTTAGCCCGTCTAGATTGTTTTGTGGTCCCCATTGGACACCATAGTTCGTTAAAAGATATCGAATGGAGGTTATCATTTTCCGTAGCTGAAAAAGAGCTCATTCATAGCATGCCTGATTCATACGTTAATTCTATGTTTGCTCTAAAAGCCATACACAAAAGTTACATCAAATACGATGACTCTGTCACACCAACGCCATTCTGCTCCTACTTCATAAAGACCGCTTGTTTGTGGATGTGTGAAACAATCCCACATAATGATAGCATCATGGATTTAATTAGAGAAATATTGGATTGGCTTGATAAATGCTATAGAGAGCAAAAACTGCCCCATTATTTTATTCGCGAACAAAATTTGATTAGTCATTTGTCAAAGAAACGTTGTAAGGATGTACGATCAAAATTAACCGCAACGAAGAACGATCTTTGGAAAAGGGTGATGTCAAGTATCGATGGTGGTGAATCCAATAAATCAGTTAATAAATCAGCTATTAATCATATTGCCAATAAATTGGAAATGGATAAAGTCAACGATGCTAATGACTACAAATTACTGGAGACCAAACTCTTAAAGCAACCACCAGCTGTTCTAAAAAAATTCACTAAAGTTCTTGAAAATAATAAATGCAAATACGGAATGTATTATATTATAAATAAATGGTTAATAATAGACTTTGAAAACTTTTTTGACGCTATCAAGATCACTGTGGATAAAAATCTTCCTCCATCAGAAATACTTGAAAGGCCAAAAGCAATTATGATGCCGATTATAAAAAGCATTAAGCAGATAGTACTAGAAGTAAATGGTCATGGAGAAATGTTTACGACCCGTTTGTATAGATATGTAGGTGATATGTATACATATTTATTACTGTGCTTCCAAAGCCAATTTTCTAGTGCATATCGCCGCTTACCATTGGATTACTACAAACTAGGAGCTGAAATGGTTCTACCTAACGGATGGAGCGATAAAAAGATAGGTGGACTTTCTCTTGAAGCAAAATATCATTATTTAATGGGTGATTATGAATCACTTAAACCACTGCTTGAATCTATAGAAAAGTTGATTCCTAGCAACACTAAAGAAAGACATTGCACTCTTAGTAATCTTACTTTTATATCGATACATCCAGATATACTTAAAAAAGGTTCTAGTGATGATGAACTGTTGCAGCTTCTTCTTGATTATGCATATTTCAAAAAAGTATATTTGCATCCATTCGCATTTGTCCATTACATGAAGGCCAGAATATCACTCACTGAGGGGAACATGGATGTAGCTAACAATGTGGATGCAATGAAGGAAGTCCTAAGTCAGGACATGCCAAATCCAATAATAATGCATACAACAAATACATTGATAAAAATCATAGAAAGTCTCAAAGGCCTACTAACGGTAATGAAAATGGTTTTGAATAATGAGATAATATAGGCAAAAAACAACAAAGCAATATGCCTAACACCTTTGTTATTAAACAGTTTTGTGCCTCTCTTTTAAAATCCACTTCCATTTCCACGTTATCAATTAAAAAATTGATAATGATATTTATTGTGCCTTTATCATCGTTGTATGAATTTGGGTCATCTTTATTTGGCATGTTGTTAGTAATAGTATAAAAGCGAAACCATTTTAAAATATGTCTATAGATTTTCCTTATATAATGAAGTAATCATACACATTTGTTTGATTTAGTGTTTATTTATTTTTTTTTTTTTTAAGTTAGGTAGGCCTAGCCCAATATTGATGGTAATGTTTAAATGTGTGGTTATTTTTAGAAAGATCAATTTTTGGTTGTGTTGCATTTATCTAATAAAATATATTTTATTCATTCTATAAAGCAATTGCGAGAACTAATAAATGTCAACAGAAATTTCATTCCATAATTTTGCCCCTTCAAACCCTATACAAAACTTTCCTAAAGAAATACAAGGTTGCGGAATAGCTAACTTAAGCGGGTTAATAATAATAATATGTCGGTCTTATATAGTGCTTCATGCACAAAGCCTCTAAGCGCTTCACATTACTACGCAGGTCATTGGATCAAACACGTATGGAACACATACTGAACACCAAATTAAATTATTAAATAAAATTATATTAAATGGAATGATAAACGAAAAGCCTAATCTGCCGCAATGTAGGGCTATGATCTCAATGGATATGATAAACGAAAAACCTAATCTGCCGAATATCGGCATATGATCTGAATGGATCTGTCGAATGTAGGGCTATGATCTCAATGGAATGATAAACGAAAAGGATAATCTGCCAAACGTAGGCCTGATCTCAATGGAATGATAAACGAAAAGCATAATCTGCCGAATGTAGGCATATGATCTCAATGGATCTGTTGAATATAGAGGACATTAGTCCCGCATCCAGTACATCACCTAAGTAAACCTAAGTTAGTAAGTAAAATTCCGAGTACAGGCGTATGATTGCTTAATTTCTTAGAAATCCTGAACAAATTGAGTCTCCGGTAAAATGTCGAATTAGGTTTTCATTTTTTTTAATACAAAAATCAACAAATTAAGCTCAGTTAAAAAAAGGCTAGGCCTATACTGTAAAATTTGTTTGGTCCTATCTGATATATCTTATGTGCAGGCGGTGTGACCACGGAGAAAATATATTGATATACCGTAAAACCTCAAATTGAAGCCTTGGGCTTCCTCTTTGTATTTGCAAACTTTGCATGGGCTTCTATTCTTTGCAAAGAACCAAGGGGGAGAGAGGGGGCTTCTTTTCAAATTGAATGCTGTACATTTTTTAAATTACTGCTATAAAACAATAAATAGGGCCACTGTAACCAGGAGTGTATTAACCGGCATTAAATCACCTAAACTACTATATAAACCAGGCGTGTCTCTAATTTATGTTGCTTTAAAATTCATGTACTGTACAGTGTATGGGCTTCTTTTCGAGGCTACTTTTGCAAACTAAAGAGGGGGCTTCAATACAGGGATTCGGCGATGGGCGTCATGTGACCTAACTTGGGCGTTGGATATAAACAATTGACTGGCACCATAGTAACCAGACCATGCGTTTTAGCATAATTTAGCCCCGTTTAGCATCTAGCATGTGTGCTGGCATAATTTTGGCAAAATTTAGCATATTTTTTTCCTGAAAAAAAAAAAATATCAAAACTGGTCTAAAAATATCGAAACTGGTCTAAAAAAATTTTTAAATAAAGGTCATAATTGAAGCCCGACAAAATTGGATGCCAGCAGGTCAATTAAAAGAGTTTCATCCAAAAATCCTTGAATATATATTAGTAGGCCTACCACTGATTCCATTCAAATTTATCTACCGCATCATCAAGTCTGTTTTTTTTTCTTTTTGTCAAGGCATTTGTCCTGCACATCAACTACAGAACCTTTAGTCCTCTGTCAAGTATGTGCCTGAACATTTTTAAAATGAATTGTATAAATTGGAAGAACGAATATGATTTACGCCATAAACCAAATGTACAGTTATAAGCGTTTGTAATAAAAGAAGAGATAGATATTTGTTGGTGCTTTATTTTGACTATAATGGATATATATATATATATATATATATATATATATATATATATATATATATATATATGTCATAGTAGGGATTTTTTTAATGAAAAAATTGAAAATCGATCAGTTTAATTGATTAATAAATATATCTAGCAGTTATTAAGTATCTAATAAAAATTGCTGATTTTCCTTAGCGTGTGCCCTACCACCCTGACTGGAGCCGTTGTAGGGCCGGAGTTGAACCCCTGTAGAAACGTACAGTAGCTTATTCTAATATTGACCCTCCACCCGAAGTTGATGCTGTCTCTTATACACATCTAGATGTGTATAAGAGACAGTGTATGTATAAGTGTTATTTTCGGCCATGTAGTTTTTCTTTAAATTTTTGCCCTCACCAAGTTGGTGCTTATACATCTAGAGGAATGAATACCAAAAGCTTAATCTGCCACAATGTAGGCCTATGATTTCAATGGAATGATAAACGAAAAGCCTATCTGCCGAATGTAGGCAGGCCCATGATATAAATGGAATAATACGCGAAAAGGCTAATCTGCCTGTATGATGTATCTGCCACTGGAAATTACAACAATTATGAAGTCATTACAGTACAGTAGCTTGATGCCTATAAAATAACTTTAAAAATTTACCAAACTTGATCATCAAATATCCGTAGCTTGATCATCAAATATCCGTAGCTTGATCGTCAAATATCCCCCACCCCACTTTCAAAAACGTTCCGGCGACGTTGCATCTAGGTTTGTTATTTTTATTATTTTTCCACAATATTCAAGGGTTGGGACATAGCGGAATGTTCCATCTTCGTTTATATGGGAGGTAGAGCTTGGTTCAGTATTCAGTATTCTTTTATAGTCACTTGTAAGCATTAAACATTAACATAGGGGTTGGCTAAAATGTTGTAAACTGTAAACAATGGGCCTATATTAAACACAGTAAATATAATATTACACAGATAAAACAGGATTTGCCCGACGGAGGGGCCGAGATCCCCGACAGTGGGGGGTGCGAGGCCCCCGACGAGAGGTCAGATTTCCCTGACGAAAGGAAAGTGGGCATGGTCAAGCTTCGAATAAAAGGTTTCGAAAGTGGTCCATGGGTTGAAGCCCCGAAAATTTTGACAATTTAAAGTTTCAAAGGCTTATTAATTAATCGATTTTATAGTCTACTAATATGTAAAAAATACATAATTTTTTTCTCCCAGACGAATTGTGCTTTTTCTCCCCTGGGCCCACTCCCCACTGGCGCCATTCCTGATAATTAGGCTACTGCTAATATAATTTTGTTGCTGGTCAATCCATGCTGCATTGAAACGTGGGGAAGGTGGCTGATGGGTATTAAAAAGTGATTTAAACTACATGGTAAAAACTAACTCCGCCGGACACCATCCCAGTATTTATGAGTGAATGTTCTATTGTTTTCCTCTGTTTATAATGTAAGGTCTTCTTGACTCAAATCAGTAAGAAAAAATGCCCTTTAAGGGCACACTTTCTCAAAAAAGGTCTTTATATTTCGAAGTCGGTAATCGTCAGTGTCGGCGCCATCAGCGGAGGTGGGGATGAGGGGTCTGGAGAAACATGGTCCTGGACTATGGGGCTGGGGAGTGAATTGTGGTGGTGGGGTTCAGGGGCGTCGGAAGCTATTTTTATTGGTCCGGCTAATATAATCATCATTGCATTAACATGACTTCTTTTCATTAGTTTTGTCTTTGTCTATAGCTCAAAACACGCACTATTCTATTATATCAATCATTCATACTTGTACTAAATATATCATTTAACCATTCTTGCTTTAACATTTTTATTTGTCACCATGGGATTTCATAAATTTTAACGTACGTACAAGTAATAGTAGTTAAACATTGCTTTAACAGTAGAAATGATATATTTAAAAATGATGTTTTACACTAGCCGATGTACTACCATACGGCCTGATCAGTATGTTGCAAAAATACTCTAAAAGAATTGACACGTATCGTCTCGAACCACCAGGGCCATAGCTCAGCTACAGGCTGTACGTATGTATATTCAATTCAATTCAATAATAATTTTATTCCAATATCAAACAATACAATTATCAGCAAAGAAATACAAAGGTAGTGAATAGGTTACAAAATAAGCAAGAAAAATGCTTTAAATATGTACCCTGCCTGGAAAAAAAAATTAATTAATACATATAAACACAATATACAAAATTATAAAGAGTATAACATCAAGAAATAAAAAAAAAAATATATGGACCTATCATAGTTAACATTTATTTTTATGTTTTTCTATAAGATACTGAGACAATTGCTTTTTAAATTTGCTTATTGAGTCTAACTCTTTTAATTCATCATTTAAATTATTCCAAATTTTTGCCCCTTGATAAGATATAGATTGTTGCCCTACGCTTGTGCGTTTTTATTTTAGGGCATATGTTATTTCGATTTTTAGTGCTATAGTTATGGAATGATTCAAATGTCTTAAATAGGTTGTTAAATGATACAGGCAGTAGATTCTTATAATATTGGTACATAAATATGGCACAGTTTTTTAAGTAAAGATCAAAACTATTTAATGTTTGAGTAATAATAAACAAAGGATGTGAAGGATTGGGTGGCCTTGGCCATTTCATAGTAATTTTTTTTAATCAAAAAAGTGTAAGTCGATCATTTGAATTGATTAATAAATGTCTATCAGTTAATAAGTATCTAATCAAAATTGCTGATTGTCCCTGGCGTTTGTCCTACCACCCTGACTGGGACTGTTGTAGGGCCTGAGTGGAACCCCTGTAGAAACGTACAGTACCTTATTCTAATATTGACCCTCCACCCGAAGTTGATGCGTCTGATTCTTATTGCTCTATTGAGTACTTATCACCTGGTAGATCTGTCCATATGATGGGAATACCTATATACATGGTCCTCCTGCCATTAATAAACCAAAAGTTTACTAAATAATAATACTAAATAATATACTAGCAATAATATACTAGCAGTTTGTTATTTAAAAATTGAATCGTAGCGTATTCACCTAGCTTAATTCGAAAGACATTTAATAGGTTTACTAAATAGTGCATAGCATATTGTACAATGTATTCATAACACATGTTAATTTATTTAGGCTACATCTTTTTATATGTATTTCACAATATCCGTCAACTCGTATAAATATAATAGGCGCACATTCCTTGTTATTCATATTGCATTATACGGTAATATAATTTTGTTCCTGTGTCATGCACTTTATTTATTCATGGAGGAATATGCATACTGTATCCTGTGTATACATAACACATGTTTTATTTAATTAGCATGTTGTCATTATTTTATAGCAAAATGCTAGGTTTTTATAGTTTTAATCTTTACTAAAATAGCTGGTCTGTTTCTGAGATACACATAGTAAATTTTAAACAGTTTTAAACAGTGATTTTTATTTTGACTTTTTATAACTTTACTATTTTAAATTGTTAATATCTTAACGTTTTTCTCGTCATTGCCAAGTTGTTTTATCGTGTGATTTTTAATGTAATTATCCTTCTTCACCAAAGAAGGATAATTATTCCTATTATAAAAATTGGACAATAAAGTGTTCTTCAATCTAGAATCTTTTTTTAGGTATTTCACAACATCTGTCAACTTGTATAAATAGAATAGACCTATAGTCATTGTTATTCACATTGCATTATATTATAATGCGTCGTGTTTCTTGCACTAGCGTCTTTCATAAATCGTATGTTTAAATTGATTTTAAGGAATGCAATTAAAATTTATTTCCACATTACATTTTTAAAATACAGTGGCGGATGGCAGAAATTCGAAAAAAAGAGGAGGCGGCCCTTTGAATGACTTTTACAGATGAAGTGTAGACCACCTTAGCCACACCATGGTTATGACTGAGATAAGAAAATTTATGATTATGGCACCTCTAATTGGCCGGAAATGGCACTCTCAGACCAGGGAACAGTTAAATTAGTAGGCCTAATTTAATTTTTCCCTGCTCAGACTTAATTTGAATATAATTTTCTTTTTTCTCCACTTTCAAATTTTGAAAAAAATAGGAAGGGTGGGCCGGCTGGGCCCCCTTGAATCAGCCAATGAAATACTTATCATATTTTTTTCAATTTATCCTGGTAATAATAATCATGCCAGATTAAATATTTAGTGCAAACTAACATTCATAAAAATAATGATTTATTATCTACTGAGCTTGTGACGTATTCGAACCATGAAAAGCAAATGATAAACCTTGTTCCTTCATGTCACTCCAATTCTTTAGTCCGGTGGTTCTCAACTATAATATCGCAATAGGGGCTAAAATTGTTCATGGAATACATTTGAAGGCCCAGGAAATGAGGTGTACTGTGGCCGAGGGAGGGTTTGGGAGAGGGTGTTAGGTAATGCAAAAGTCAAAATGTTATAGGCCTATATCACACAATGGGTCATCAGTAATATTTCTTTGCTGTTTGCTGCGATAGTTTTTTTGATTTGATTGATTAAATCACTACCGTACTATTTGTGGGCAATAGTGGGCAAAACAGAATACAAAATTATTAAGGTTAGAAATCTAGGCCCAAGCCTAGACGAAACTATTATTTTTTGGCTTGTTCTCGAGGGCCGGAGATGGACCGCAGGCCGCCAGTTGAGAACCCCTGCATATAGTCTCTTTGTATGTATAGTACTTTCAAAATCCGATGGTGTTCGGTGATTCATGAGACTAACTTCGCATAAAAAAATAAATTTTCTGTATATTTACTGAAATTTTCATTTTCTGCACCTTAGTCCAGCATTGTCAAAATCACAATTTAATGTTGTTTACTAGAAATTGCAAATTGCAAGTGAAGTGCTGCGAAGTACAACTGCATATAAATGTTCTTCGAACTAAATTATTTATGCGAGTCAAGTGAAAATAATGAATAATAAAAATATAGCAAATAATATGAGACACGACCCATTGTCTATATTAGAACACTTCTCATTGGGTAACAAAGTCGTAATTTTTCATTTT